CGAAAGGTTCAATGCAACATGCACTGCCGCAGTCGTCGTAAGGCCTCCTGCAGAAAGGGAGTCCATCTATATAGTTGTTGGCCCGGTAAGGAGGCCAGAAGGGGTCTGAACATCAGGAGGAAAACTCCCAACACAGTCAGGCTTGAGAGACTGGATGAAGAGTCCGTACTGGTGGTACGGTATGGATACTCGGTACTATATCGTAAACAGCCAGATGCGTGTTGAGTGGGCGCATTAGCGTCGAGGGTTGGCGGTAATCGAAGCAAGGGATAGGCTGGGAATTCTGCAAGATGAAGATGTTGTAAAAATCACGAGAGCAAACATCATCATCTGTCGTTTAGTTGAAGTCATGAAAGTTATTCCTGTTGGTGCCGGTTTCTTCCTAATCTCCGTTTGCCAAGATCGCTTGAGAGTCTTTCCCTGGTGGCCGCTAGGGTTGGATCTCGGCTCTTTGCTAACGAAAAGCACAACGACCCTCGTTTTCACTCACCGTAGATCCACTGGTCCTCGCATCTTGGCAGCTTGGGCTCAGCGGGTAGGTACCACTTGTAAAGCTCCTTTCGATCCCGTGCCTTCGGGACCGAAGCCTGAATAGAACAAATCGTAACGATCGAGTCCAGTAAGTTAGACTACTGTATGTTCCGTTCCTTTGGGCCTATACTGCAGGGTCCATCACTCTAAACTGCCCACATCAGGGCGCTTAAACCCAGATTAGGGTTGATCGAGAGGATGGAACGCACGTCATTCGACACCAGCAGCTTGGACGCATAATCCCATCCCATCAGCCACAGCGCTCGACCAGGGTGTGACTTGTTGGCATTATGAGCTAGACTGAAGATTTCCCATCATGAGAGAGAGGGAAGAATTGGAGTAGGCGCCGAGGGGTGGGCCATTCTTCCAAGACCCTGGTGTAGTGGCCAATGAGAAGATGCGCCTGAGAGTGACCAGCACCTGTGACAATCGCTGCAGCAGGTGCATAAAGTGACCCCGTTGTCTAAGCAAACCCTGGCAGAACCCCAAATCATTCATCACAGTTCGCATAGAACCTTTCGATTCTTTTGGGGCATCTGACGACGCTGTTGAATGCAGTGGTTCGATCTAACATGAGAGCTAGTTTCATAAGGGTAGGATAGAACAGTTTAGCTCGCATCTATGTGAAGAATACATCACATCTAGTTCATCACATCACAGGTGATGGTTATGCATTCAGTCGTAGTCTACACCGTCAAACAGTCAACTTTTCTTTTTCGAATTCCCCAATATCCATCATGCCAGTGGAGAAGAGAAACAAGATGAGGATTTTAGGTTCCCAGCTCAAACCCGGCCCGGTAAGAGTGTTGGTAAACCTCTTACATGTGGCTAGCGGTCGATCAGACGTTGCACATGCACTGAGAGAAGTAATACATTTCAGATCTCAGATGCAGTCGGAAACATTGCTGTAGCAGAGGCAAGAGGAAGAGAAAAACGTGCGAACCCTTGTTGCACATCCCCCTGGCCCGGTGAGCAGGGACTGCAGAGTGTGGTTGTAGAGAGTCAGGTCCCCCGTAGGCCGTGTGACAACCATCATCGACCAATTCCCATCGTCTCTAGGCGCTGAGTCTGGTTGCACCAGCCACTCATCGGTTGTTGTGCCGTATGTCATCTCAAGCACTGCTGCAATTCATCACTTCCATCACCACGCCATTGACTCTTGGCTCGCAATAATATCTTGTGCAATCCAGAAATAGGCCATGAAATTGGCAGTTTTGTTCTTCGCAAAAGTTCTGATTCCATGCCATGTGTTTGCAGCTGAGCCGGAGAGAAACATCCCACTTACATGAACGATTTCTTGGCCTATTCTCTCAAGCTGGATATAATAATGACAACTCAGCCTCTCAACTTGTAGTTCGCCGATCAATATCTCAATTGTCTCTTGTTTGTTGTATCGAGATCGTGTGTTACATACAATACAATAGCTTGTTCTATACGCGCTTAGCCCTCGAGCCAATGTTCAACACTCAACCCAAGGCTTTTCAACCACTTCTCAACTAACCTCAGCAACCAACACCTCTTGAAGTTATAAAAAGAACATTCCAAGCACAGGATCGATATACGATCCAACCTAATCTCCCACTGATTACCTATATCACAAAACAAGCCAATCTCCTCATCGTCTCGTCACTTAGCATATCTTGACTTTCCTCTTTCTCTCGAGGTAGCGCCACTGGCTCGGCCGCCAAGACATCGAGACTGCCAGTGCGCCAATTGCTTGCTTCAGGCTCCCTTCGCACTCCAGTCTCCAGCAAGCAACTTGACCCAACACCGGCCAACCCCTGCAAAGCCAACCCCCTGTCCCCTTCAGTGTCCGCCAGGCCCGTACTTGGCATACCCCTGTACCCCCGTACCGTGCCTAGCGTACCTGGCCCCCCGCCGCCATTCGACCGCACCTTCCTTACCTCTGGTCACAAGTGCTGCCCGCCGAATAATAAGTTGGGACAGCCCTCATACATTAAGCGCCCATTCTAAGCCCCTCAACTCTCCCTTGACTCTCGAATTTCTGCTATTTACCACAAATATCCTCCTATACCGTTTTCTATTCCCGATCATCCCGCTCTTACATATATACCTATTACTCTGAATTCGAATCTGCTGCGGTACTTTGCCCTGCAACGACAATCATGTCGTTGAAACAGGTACAGTCCCTCTCTTGTCTTTATAGACTGCCATGCCTTCTAAATCAGTCCACTAACTCAATTCCTCTCTACAGGAAATCGAGACCTGGGTGGCAGCCCTGGGCCGTTACGATAACAATGAATTCGAAGAGGCTCTCAACGAGTTTGGGAAAATTGGCGACACTAGCAAGATTCTCTTCAACATGGGCGTGATCCATGCCACACTCGGCGAGCACGAGAAAGCTGTATGCAAGCCCTTACTGAGTTGATATAGTTTGACAATGCTAATTGCTTGCCTAGGTTGAGAGCTACCAACGAGCCATTCGACTTGACCAATACCTCGCCGTTGCCTACTTCCAGCAAGGCGTCTCGAATTTCCTCCTCGGCGACTTCGAAGAAGCCCTCGCCAACTTCAACGACACACTCCTTTACCTCCGTGGCAATGCCATGATCGACTACGCTCAACTCGGCCTTCTATTCAAACTCTACTCCTGCGAGGTGCTTTTCAACCGAGGTCTTTGTTACATCTACTTGCAACAGATGGAGGCTGGTATGCAGGATTTTTCGTATGCTGTGAAGGAGAAGGTGGTGGAAGATCATAATGTTATTGATGATGCTATCAGAGAACAAGCGGAGGTTTGTGAATCCCATAACATCTACTCTGGATTCTCATCTAACCTGATTAGGGCTATACTGTCTTCTCAATTCCAGTCGGAGTTGTTTACAGACCCAATGAAGCTAAAGTTCGAAACCTCAAGACAAAAGATTATCTTGGCAAGGCCAGACTTGTGGCAGCTTCAGATCGCGCCAATGCCTTCACGGGATTTGCAGGCTCTGAAATCAAGAATGTCAGTTGTCCTCAACATTTCTTTGCTGAAATTCTCTTGACTAACATCATTTAGGCTGGCAAGCTAGAGGTCAAGGATGACCGGCCCGCCGACAACATTTCCTTCGCCGCTACAAATCTCGTCAAGCCTGGTCTTTCATCTCGGAGACAACAATCAGAACCTCCGAACAACCGAAATGTATTTCCGCCAACACCTCCACCCGAGAACGAGCGCCCATCTCGTGCTGCTTCTGTTCGCGGTGGGAAGCCTCAGTTGGCTAAACTCAACATCCAGCAGGCCGAGCCGAACCGCCGGTATGAGAAGGCAGCTTCACCACCAGATAGCCGTTCTCGGCCCATGCCTGCAAGATCAGCATCTGCTGCTAGTAGTAGAATGATGCAGAGGGAGCCTCAGCCTCTCCAGTTGAGACCCCGGCAGATCCCAGAGGAGACAGGGTCACCAGAAGATGTCTATGCTATGTACCAGGGAGGCGATCCTTACCGAAACTCAAGAGGGTCTACCGGCAGTCGACGCCAGAGACAACCACAATATTCTGAAGAGGAAGACGGATCAGATTACGATGGCACCATCAACGAGAACGACTTCGAGATGATCGGTCAACGCCGAGGCCCAGGCTCTGTTTCAGGCCAACGTGGTAGCCGACGACCAGAGATCACAAAGATCCGTGTCAAGGTCCACGCCGATGAAGTCAAACTTATCATGATCGCTCCTGATATCAAATACGAAACGCTAGCCGACAAGGTTCGCGATAAGTTTAATATTAGGCGACGATTTAAGATTAAGGTTAAGGACGAAGACATGCCCAATGGGGATATGATTACAGTGGGCGACCAGGATGACCTGGAGATGGTGATTGATAGTGTCAAGGAGGAAGCAAGGAAACAACGAGCAGAGACTGGCAAGATGGAGGTATGTGGATATTCCCCTCTTTCTGGTACTGAGCCCATCGCTAACATGATCGTAGATTTGGATCTTTCAACTTTAGACATATACCCTGACAGCGCGCATTTGCATTTTGGATATTTACGACTTCCTATCACGAAGCAGTGGCTCGTGAGTTGACCAAGAAATCTTCAGAAAAAGGCCCTTTTCTGTTCTTGGAATTTTACCATTATCTTAATCTTGTACTTTTCAAAGCATGTCAAAATAGTCAGCATATTAAGGGTTTCAGGTAGAGGGCAGGCAGCCGGAGTCTGGGGTCTTTGATTTCTACCTATCTAATCACTCACACAGAGGGAGGCAGAGAAAAGAACAGGGCGAGACCCAAGGGTTCGCATTTAACCTCAATCATGACGTTATGACAACACCGCATTCGATAGTTCACCGTGAAGCAAGTTAGTTGATCGTGAATAGGGGTTGGGGGTAACAACCCCAGCCATGCCAGTCATTGTATTTGCGCATAACATTACAGTTACTCATACAACACATCTCCAATTTTATCAAAAGCCCCCCCCCCCCTCAATACATAGGCGACTAATCAACTAGACGATTTTTCATATCTCTACCGAATGCGTTCGGCTTCTGGAGCTAACAGACCTCTGTTCTCCATCCAGTCCTGACGGAGAGTTGGCCCACTAGATTCTAGCTCACCAAGCAAAGAAGCCACGAGATTCGCACGGAATCGCCACTCATCTTGACCTAACACATCAAACAGGATGCGGGACGATTTGCTGACGGCTTGTGAATCACCAGTCGCAATTAGGCGAAGAATAGCATGTAGGTCGGGAGCCTGGTCAGAAGGGATACTCTCAAATAAGCGGTCAAGGGCCGTTTCCCAGTCGTCATTCCCTTGCACGGTCTTGTTGACCAATTCGACTAACTCGAGACGCGGAGTCTCGGTGACGATGGCCGCTCGGTAGATATCAGGGGGAGGGCGCCAGAAGAAGTACGGCAGCAAACGGGCCAAGTTAGCTACAGAGGCGTATCGTACAGTTTCTTGAAAGATTATCTTGGAGGTGTATGACTGAGATGATTCTGATGAGAGCATGGCTGGAACAGGAGTTAAAGGGGCGGGCCAGTCGAGAGGGGTGCCCGTGGGTTGAATGGGCATGTAGTCATCAGAAAGGGACTGGGAGGAGGCAGTGATGGCATGAACTTCGTTGACAAGGGGAGTCACAAGATAATCTCTTATAAGTTCCTGCTCGCGAGATGTGTGTTCGGGAGTAGGGGTTTTGGTAAGGAGGTTTCGATACTCGCGCTGGAAGAAGTCGAGCTTAGTTGGGTTGAGTTTGATGCCTCCTCGGGTGAACTTGTAAGTCAACTGATCCATTGTTAGCACGCTTATCATAGAGTACTGGCAGCCTGCAGCAGCTTTTATAAAAAAGAAAACTTACGTTCTCGGCAACATCACTAAGAGTTCTCGGTGTCTTCGCATCTTTCCTCAAAGAGGCACCTAGGTTGGCAAGCCACGCTTGTAAAGCCATAGGAAAGACGTTCTGGTCCATATAAGTCGACAGGTCGACGCTACTATCGCGTTTGCTAAGTTTAGATCCGTTGTTGCTGACGAGAAGGCCCAGGTGAGCAAAGGTCGGGGGTTCCCAACCGAAAGCCTCATAGAGGGCCAGATGTTTGGGGGTTGAGATGAGCCATTCCTATGAAAATGTAAGTGAATGTCTCGGAATTTAAAATCATGAGGATACCGACTTCGCCACGGATGACATGTGTAATCTTCATTAGATGATCATCAACCACATTGGCAAGATGGTACGTAGGATACCCATCCCTTTTCATAAGAACAAAGTCCTCTTCAGGCTCTTTCTTCTGGAAAGGTCCGTAGATAGCATCCTTGAAATTTGGTGTGCCGAAGCGAGCAGAGTCAAGCCGAACGATATGGGCTTCGCCCTTGGAGGCTCGCTCATCAGACTCAGAGCGCGGGATGGTACGACATGTGCCAGGGTAGGCCGTAGATTTGCCAGCCTCGTGAAGAGCTCGCTTCTGAGCTTCGAGGACTGTTTGATCACAGAAGCAGCGATATGCAGAACCATTTTCTAGCAAGGTCTGGGTGTGTTCTTTATATGTCTCCAAACGTTCTGACTGATTCTTACATTAGTGCAAGGTGAGGGTGACAAAGCCCAGAGGAACTTACTTGTCGATAGGGGCCGTATGGACCTCCTTTATCAGGTCCTTCGCTCCATTCAAGACCGGCCCATTCGAGATCTTTGAAGATTCGTTCTTCAGCATCAGGCACCAAACGATTCTTGCATAATTAGCATGGGTGATTGTGAACCGAAGACTTACACATCAAAGACTTACCTGATCAGTATCTTCAATTCGAATAATAAAATCACCACCCTCTGTAGTCTTGGCCACCAAATTGTTGAACAATGCGGTTCTTAGAGAGCCAAGGTGCAGATATCCAGTAGGTGACGGCGCAAAACGTGTACGGATTGGCTTGTCGGCTGGTTGCCCAAGGATATAACGCTGATTTGTTTCTCCTCCTTTGACCTTCGTCTCCTTGTTGATAACATTCTGGCTACGCTTCTTTAGAGCCGCCAGTCTTGATGGCTTCCTCATGGATCGATCATCTTTTTTGCCTTGTTTATCCAGCTCTTCTGAAGGACGTTGAGAAGTCTTCGTCGCTATATCAGAATTCTGATCATGTTGATGAGCAACAGAGCTTGTAAAGTTGCGACGAACTAGGAGAGGTATTGGGTGATGTAGAACGCGATTTTGTATAACGTTTCTTGAAAGCCTCGTTGAGTGGCTTAACAGGGGCCTCATATTGAAAATGTGTCTCTCATGACAAGCTACTAAACGAGTGTGAGTGAGTAAACCAGTCTCATGAGATTGTGAGTTTGTGGCGGTGCATGGGCGCCACACCACTGCGGCTTGTGTATGGGAGCCGTAGCCTGCGATAAGAGTCAAAATTTCTTATCAGTGGACATGAGACTATCAAGTTTGAATCGCGTCTGGGTTTAACAATGGAGGGGCAGATATCAAGAGACGCCAAAAACTGTTTGTCTGATGAATCAACGATACAGCGAATCCAATATTGAACATAATATAAACTATAACGGCCTGTCTATTAGTTCTGTTGGAGCTAATTTACCTGTAGCAAGCAAACAGAGTAGGATTTGCTATCAGAATTGGAATGCTAGGCGTCAATGAACATGGCGCAGGCAAAGTCAAGTGCAAACATTGAGATTACTTGTATAATAAGAACTCTGCGCTTAAGCTTCTTGTTGTGCATTTGACTGTTTGTATCATAACATCAGAAACCTCTAGAGTCGACAGCTTAGGTATCATCAAGGAAGTCTCCGTTGATTTATACTGACTGACTTGGGTTTCTTTTCTCTTTTCTTCTTTCCCTTACGTACCCCGCGCTCCAAATCCGCGCCAAAAGATTTTCTACGGGCCCCTGCTCCTGCACTCAGCCAACAGAGTTGATCGACGGAGCGGACCAATTCTTCATCCTGCATTACAGTACAGCATAAGTACTGTAGCCTATTTTACAGTACTTCATCTCCGATTTTCAAGATGGATGAGAACCCTTTCAACGCGGGCGCTCCAGGCGCCGAGGAGGTCGATCTCTATGGTAAGTACAAAAAGCCAAATTTATTCCGGCCACTCGTTATCGCCAAAATTGTGGTGGTTGATAAGCAAGGCTTGCCTGGCTAACTCGGCTGCTAGAACTTCTTGAGATCGACAGAACTGCCACACCGGAGCAGATCAAGAAGGCTTACCGCAAGGTATGTGATCGCGGTTACACAGATCGTATAGCACTTTCTTACAAATTCGAAACAGGCCGCTCTTAAGTATCACCCGGACAAGGTCGCCGAAGAGCATCGAGAAGAATCCGAAGCCAAGTTCAAGGAAGTCACGCAAGCCTACGAAATTCTCAGCGATGAGCAGAAGCGCGAGCTCTACGATGTTCACGGCATGGCCGCCTTCGACAAGTCCCGAGGCGGTCCCGGCGGTCCTGAGGTCGACCTCAACGATATCCTCTCCCAGATGTTTGGCTTCGGCATGGGTCCCGGAGGCCCTGGAGGCCCTGGCGGCCCTGGCGGCGCCCGCCGACCCAGACGTGGTCCTGATGAGGAGCAAGAGTACAAGGTGACGCTCGAGGAGCTTTACCGTGGCAAGACTGTTAAGTTTGCTGCCAACAAGCAGGTACTCTGCGGCCAGTGCAAGGGCTCTGGTGGCAAAGAGAAGGCCAAGTCTTCGTCCTGCGAGCGCTGCAAGGGTAATGGTATTGTTGAGGCCTTCCGTCAGATCGGCCCCGGTATGATGCGCCGTGAGACCGTTATTTGCGATCACTGCCAGGGTGCCGGCCAGGTCTTCAAGGAGAAGGACCGATGCAAGAAGTGCAAGGGCAAGCGAACAACACAAGAGAAGAAGGTTCTCGAAATTTATATCCCCAGGGGCTCCATGCAAGGCGAGCGCATTGTTCTGGAGGGTGAAGCCGACCAGTACCCAGACCAAACGCCTGGCGATATCGTATTCACCCTTGTGGAAGAGCCCCACGACGTCTTCACTCGCATCGGACATGACTTGTCTGCTGAACTGAGTGTGTCTCTTGGAGAGGCCCTGTCAGGCTTCTCGCGAACAGTATTTAAGCATCTCGATGGACGTGGCATTCACATCGAGCGACCTCAAGGCAAGATCCTGCGACCAGGCGACTGCCTCAAGGTTCCCGGTGAGGGTATGCCTATGAAGCGTGGCGAGGCCAAGGGTGACCTCTACCTGATCGTCAAGGTGGAGTTCCCTGAGGATGGCTGGCTGAAGAGCGAATCGGAGTACCAGACGCTGCAAAAGATGCTGCCTCCTCCCCCTGCGAATGTTGAAGCTGAGGAAGTTGATGAGGTCGAGTATGAGGACGATGCCGACATCGAGAAGGTAAGCATATTTCTTCGTGACTGAGCTTGAAGCCAGTAGCTAACTCGGTGGCAGATGGGTGAGAACTCGGGTGATGGCCGATTCGGCGGTGACTGGGAGGACGACGAGGACGATATGGGCGATGGCCAAGCTCAGTGCCAGACCCAGTGATCGACGACACATCTTCATAGAAAGAAAGATGGAAGGCGCTTAGGGACGTGAAGCTTTTGCTCTGGATTAATGAAGTGATGACTATCTCACGATCAGGGGCAGGTTCACTGCCATGGCGATGGCGGTGCTAGTGCAACAGGTTTATCAGTATCAAGGCCAAAGTCAGAGGCTTCCAGGATGATATCAAAAGGAGAGACGATTGAAGACTTGTTCGTTTTGGAAAGAAGATCCAAAATGGTATCATATCATGCCAGGCCATACATACCAAACCACACCACTCTTGGGTTCAAGAAGGGACAGGTCTCGGTCTCGAAGGCCGAGAGATCCCGTTGCAGGAGATACATGATAGATAGATACTCGTGCATAAACATATTGTAGAGGCCCAAAGTTCGAATTGCTGTAATTAATTGGTGAGATATTATGTAAGGGTGAGCGAGAACAAAGGAGAGTTGAGATGAAGTCTGGGAAATTGCATCGTAGAGGTACCGACTTTAAAGTTGATACTTCAAAGTGGACCCACCACCTCTTTGGGCTCTTAATCGAATCAACTTACACCAAACAGCTCCAGAGTTGATCACTTCCTCTACGTTGACAGATGGTTGAAAACGCCAACTTGTATGGGGGACTGATTTTGATGACGTTCTGATCTCTTGCGGATATGCTCTACCTGCCTGCACCTAAGATATCCAATATGCCTTAAATCACACTGCTCACTCACTCAATCAATCAATACCCGACAAATGCATGAGAGGAAGGAGTTCTCCCTCATCTTCCACTGCTAAATTGTTTTATAGCTTCTCTAATACGATATCTCATTCAGAGTTTTCCGACTTGGATACGGTATATCCATACTTCAAGCCATGCATACCTAGGTATTGAGGGACCTGTCTCACAGTCGCATCTATCCAGACCCACCCCCGCCATTTGACGTAATCCTGAACCTCCACCACTTAACATCAACACCAACCTTACTCCTCCAACAATCCCATTCCAAACTTCCACAATGTCACGCAAAGGCGTAGGCCTTGCGGCCTTTGACCGCTCACGCCTTACATCAGCACAGTTCGCATCTCATGGCTCCTCCCTGCGCGCCAATAACGCCCAAGCTCTCGAAACCCAGCTCGCCGTGTTCCGCTCCCTCCTCCAGCAGTTCGCAAACACCCACGCTCGCGATATCCGCTCCGATCCCGCTTTTCGTGCCCAATTTGCTCGCATGTGCGCTGCCATCGGTGTAGATCCACTCGCCAGCAGTAATAGCAACAGTAGCTCAGACGGAAGCTCCATATGGGCACAATTGCTCGGAAAGACGGTCAACGACTTCTACTTCGAGCTCGCCGTAAGGATTGTTGAGGTCTGCAGTGCTACGCGCGGAGAGAACGGAGGTCTTATCGGTCTGGCAGAGTTGAGAGAGCGAGTTGCCGCAGGGCGTATGGATGGCGCTGATCCCATCGCTGATGATGATGTCCGGCGCGCGGTACAGACGCTTGCTCCGCTAGGTGGCGCATATGCTGTCGTGCTTGTAGGTCGAAAGGAGTATGTGCGGAGCATACCCCGTGAACTTAACGATGACCAAGTCTCGGTCGTTGAGGCGGCGCAAGTCCTGGGTTATGTGAGTGTCAGCATGTTGAGGGATAACCTGGGCTGGGATAGGGCACGCGCCCGGACTGTGATAGACGATCTCGTTGCAGGCGGGATGCTGTGGGTTGACAAGCAGACAAAGGGCGAGTGGGAGTATTGGAGTCCTGGGTTTATGGCCGAGGCTGCTGCTCCGGATGAAGGTGACTGAAGGACACCCAGGCACTGAGTTACCATGTCTACGGAGTGTCTCGAAGCGCGACAGACGATACGACTTGTGGCATAGCAGAACTCCTGACCCAGGGCTTCACAAGACAAAGCGGACGTGCCCCAAAGTCATGAGGCGCCTGTCTTGTTTTGATCCCTTATGCATGCAGTCAGGCTACCAGACTTACATATCGAGCTTCCATCACTCGCCTCGCATGCCGTGGTGAGTCACCAGTCAAGGGACATTTCGCATTCGCAAATGGTTCCAGCACAGCGATCCGAAGCCACCATCAAGATATTCAGCAATGATGTCACATGGGAAAATTGAGAAACCTCCCAGAATGATAGGCCCCAAGGCCTTTCGCTCATGGTTTCAGACCGAGGCCACTCACGTGTCAAAACCATTATTCACATATCTTCAAATTAGGCTCTAACAGGCCAACCAGGTAATTCTACTATAGAAGGTGTATAAAAAAGATAAAAATACTAGTTCATTTCATTAACCAGCAACTCGCACATACAAACATACACATCTTACCACTTCCCCTCCACACTGCCCTTGTCCTTGATCAGAAAATTCTCTTGTAGATACATGTTCAACAGCCTGAGTTCAGGACGGGCACCAGTCCAACTCACCCCCTCATCTCGGGTATATACTTGTCAAGCGACACGACCCATCCGAGCATGGGCATGAACATCATCCACCCATCGCCAAGAAGTCATCGTTGGTTCACTCCTTCGTCACCACATTTCCCTCCTCTTTAGATGCTTTGGCCGCTCCTATTGCCGTCTTTTACTTGTCTTCTTGGCGTGGCTGAGCTCGGATCGGCGCTTGAGATGGAGTCGCTTAGTAGGGAGGGTTGGGGCCACCCATGCCAGGAGGAGGGTAGTCATCGGGGCGGCCTGGTCGCATATCACCAGCGTTGGATCGGCGGTCGTCACCGAAGTGCTTCTTGCGGAGAGCTGCGAGACGCTTCTTCTTGGTGATGGTGTTGATGTAGGTGCCGATGATGAAGGACACGATGTTGAAGAAGGGAACCCAGAGCTGGTCAGGGAGGAACTTCTGGGCAAAAGCCAGGCAGATAGGCGAGGTGATCCACGAGACCCGCATCACCTTCCAGAAGCCGACCTTGACGGTAGCACGAACCTGATGGTAGGTGCGAGCGCCGGCGATGAGGGCCATAGCAACGAGATAGACGCTGTTCTGGATAGGAGCGATCTAGGGGTTGTGTTAGCGACTGGTGATACAAAACTGGGTCCTTCAAATCTCGCTCAAGTTGCGTTCCCAAGTTTTCTCCGAATGTGGACGTATTTCAACCGTCAAACTCGCAACTTGATCGTACAGGCTTGTTCCATCAAACCATTGATCTTCATCTTTAAACGCGCACGAACTCGACAATCAAGGAATATTGTTCAGAACTTACAATGAGATTGCTGACAAGAATCTGCAGAATCTTGGCGCGCAGGCTGGTACGGCCCTTGAAAGCCTTCTGGAGCGCCCAGATGAGGAAATGGCCTAGAGGAGCGCTGATGAGAGCGCCATAAGCGGCCATCTTGGGAACACGAGCAGTGAAGTAGTTGCCGTGCTTGTTGCGGTCCTTGGCGAGCCATGAAGCGACGAGCTCCTGTGTACCAGCAAGGGTACCAGCAGTGAGCATCTTGGTGCGCAGAGGGTTGTCCTCAAGCTCCTTGATGTAAGCCTATCAGGTCGTTAGTCGTGATCAATGTGGTTTTCCTCTGGGATCATGCGGAGCCATAGCATCATAGCTTGGGGAAGTAGCTTATGCGCATTCTAGCTTCCGGCATCCTGAGCAGGTCGGGTGTCCAACGTACCGCCAGATAACCCTTAGTACCAGCGTTCTTCATACCACCAGTCAAAGCTGTACCGATCACAGCAGAGACGGGGTGGTGGCCCTTTGTGCCGGGAATCTTGCCAGCCTCGGCCTGGTCAAGCATGTCGCCCATCTTCTCAGTGGCATCGTGGACCTTTTCCGACACCTTGGTGACGGTTTCACTCTTGAAGTCAACCATGCTTGCTATTATTCGGCTATATGGCGGTGATGGTGAACGGTATGATTAAGAAGCGCGTTCTAGTTCGAGGTCCAGATAAGAATATTATTTTGATCCGACTCAGCGTGAATTGCTCCAGATTGAATGCTGGCTTCGATCTATTCCACCTTGGTTTGTGTTCACGGCGCGCTATGTCCTGGCGTCGTCGTCGTGATCGTCCTCGTCAGATGTTATCGTCAAAGTCAACACGGCCGCGGCGGCGTCATCAACAGATCGAGTCAAGGGTCAGACGCGCAAACGAGACTTTAATCAAAGCGTCAGTGAGGATGTCCAAGATAAACAGGTGGGGTCTAATGATCGCGGATCGTTATTGACATGGGGATGAGGGAATGTGCGCGCTCAACAACAGTAGCTGGACATGACAATGGATGACAGAAGAGAGGACTTGACAAGATGGTGAGAGACCACTGAGAGGTAAGGATTGAGGTGGGTCAGAGTCAATTGAGGTCCTCGTGAGGTATCTGGCCAATGGCTTTGTTTACTCGAGCAACAAGACCAGAGAGGTTGAGGGAAGGGTTGCAAGTCGACGATGACCGATGATGGAAGGTGATGGATGCTGCTGTTGTTGACGTGAAGTCCAGCTTATCCCAGTCCAGGGTAGTCGGCAAAGAGATGAAAGAAAATAAACTTACAAGCGCCGGTGCCGAAGGATGATGATGGTGATGATGATGATAAGTTGAAGATGGTGAGATGGGGGAGACGTGGACGTGAGTGGAGCGTAGCGGTTGGGTTGGTGTTGATTTGTTTGTCTCAGGCCTAGACAGGACAGGACAGGATAGGATGGAGGTGACCGATCTGGGGGGACTGGGAGGAGGAGGAGGGACCTGTGCGTGCTGAACCGGGCTAGAGTGGGCTTTGACTGGGAGATGAGATTGATGGGCAAGAGAGAGGAAATGGAAGTGAGGTACCGCCTGCCCAAGTCCCAAGTCAAGCTCAGCTCACTCCAGGCACTGAGCTGCAACAAGACAGGGGCAACCTCCAAAGACGGTGGCTGGGAAATGTAGAGTTCGTGTACCGTTACGGCATGGCGCAAGGCTAAGAATACTCAATCGATACATTAATCTGCCCAGTCCACAATGCCTCGGCCCGCTGTAAATAATAACAATCGAGCCAACCAAATCTCTCAAAACAAAAGAGTGTTTACCCCTGGTAAAATGGATGCCTCCATTCGGCAGCTTCAGCTACCGCGGCTCCAGCTCCCAAATTGGCGAGCTTGCGTGCTGACATCCACTCAGAATCCACCAGCTTCCTCTTATGTACAGCAACCCAGTCGATGGATGGAGCTTCTTGGTTGGATATTTCAGCCACAAGTATCCGTATTCTTCCTCTACCACTCTTCGGCTGTCCCCTCGCCTCGACCTCAGTCTCCAATACTCTCTATATCATCTAGGAACATGAATATCTTCCTGTACTATCAGCACCCTATTCTCACTCGCTTGTTCTGCACGACACTACATGAAGCTACCGAGGTGGCCTAACCTCCTTAGCCTCTTCGGTAATCATGGCCGGGACGTGTTGAAAAAAGAGTGGCTGGGTCAATCACTTTGCATACAGAGGCACATACACTCCATGCGCTTGCAGGGATCCCTTCACGTGAAAATGGCGTCTCCAACATGCGGAATCTTCTCGCTACAAATGATATATGTGTGTATATATGTATGCAAATACTTCTCATCAACAGAGGCGCCCTCTGTACACTAGGTCCCAAGGATATGTCAAAATGCCCAAACATGGCCCGAGGATTTGATTCATGCCAATCCTCGCTCAATCAAAGGCCATGCCCTTCAAACGCCTGTACCTAACACAACGGACTGTCTTCATGGACTGTCCAGAACCAGCAATCCATATTCCCCTAGATAGTCAAGTCGTTCAACGAATCAAGAAAGAGATCTCCTTTTCATACAGAGCTAGGCCTCTGGCCCAACTGTTAAAGCCAACGATGTACTCAAAACGCCCTCATGCTTCGATAAGCTATTTCATAGTGACCCTCGAAGCCGTTGCTTTCTAGCCAACCAGTCTCCGAGCATATTGTCAAGTTGCTGTTGCTGCATTAGTATCGTTGCAGAAGAATATATGCTCAATAAGGCAACGATGAAAATACTCACAGTGGTAATCTCCGCTAGCTTCGCGTTCTGCTCTCTAAACATGCCACTAACCACCGGGTGGTCCTTGCTAACAGGTTCCACGTCTGTCTTGTCGTACACGACCATGAGAAGGTCTCGAACGTGCTCACCATCGTCAAAGAAGGCACGTAGCTTCTCGTCGTCCCAACCAGGTTCTTTGGCACTTTTCGTTGAGCTACTATCCTTAGGTGTCTCGTCACCAGGCATAAGCTCTGGTGACGGTACATCAGAGGATGAGCGACCATCTTGGGAGGACGTATCGATCTCCAGTGCTGGTGGCCGTGTTGCATTAACAGGTGACACCTGCACCGGTGATTCTGACAGACGATCCTTCTGGTCTTGGCTTGCCGCTGTGGATGCGTTCTGCTTGGCGGTTGCGTCGAAGCTATCAGGGAACGCTCCTGGCAATTGTGGCCGTAGCCCACCTTCAGGCTTCTTCTCGATTGGTTGCTCTGGTGTCGTTCGGGTCGTAGGCTGAGACACATCATCCTCGTCGGAGCTTGACAGTTCATCCAGATCCATCAATGGACGAGGCTTGGCTGTCTTAGTTGTCCTAGGCTCGCCTCCTGTGCTTGCGCTGCGGCCCAGCGCCCTCGCCAATGCCTTCGTATCGTCGTGTTGTGCAGCGGCTGAGGAGGACCGTACCTTCGCCGGATCCCCGCCAAATTGTGAATTTGATGGCACTTCATGTGTCTCTTGTGTCTCGGGATTGACAATCCGCATCGACGCCGGTGGCACGTTGGACACATCGTTGACCCGAGACTCGGCCAGATAAGCTGCGAGTTCCATTGTCGATGAGGTCTCCCCGCCTTTGCCGGGAGATGTTTCAGTTCGTGGCATCTGCTTTTGAAGCTTACTAGTGCTCCGTTGCGGTTGCCTGTCAGGCGACGCGACCTCCTCAATTGACTCGCTGTCCCGAGGTTCTGATACAATATCCATAGAGCGCTTGCCAAAAGATTCGTCGTCATCGTCAACCGACTTCTTTCTATCCTTTCTGGAAAAGAAACTTCGGATGGCGCTCGGCTTCTTTTCCTTCTCTTTCCGAGACTTGTCTTGGTGCTTCTTCTTCTCTTTATCAGACATGAGCTCCTTGTCCATCTTATCAAGACTTCCTCGGGACTTGATGTCCTTGGTTGTTGAGTCTTGGGAAGGCCGAGGTTGATTGTCGTCTCGTAGCAAGTTAGGCGTGAGAGTGATCTTCTTGGTCTCGACTGTCTCATCTCTAAAGAAAGAGTCGGTGTTTCTGACAGTACCATTGCGGGATCTGCTTGGGCCTTCCTGTTTGTTGTCGAACAGTATTTCCTCACTGCTTCTCGTCTCATCTTCCTCTTCCACAGTGTCGACCTTCGACGGCTCCATAGCCATTTTAACTTCTTTATTCGAACGAGGCTTTAGAGGCTCGACCCTGGCGCTCTCCTCTGATGAATCATCTTCTATAATCGATATTGTTGAAGCTGGATCTCGGGTATCTTTCTTCTGTTCTTGTTGCTGTTGATCTTGCTTAGTTGTGGTGGACGAGTTGGCAAATAAGTCGTCCAAGTCTTCTTCATCGGATGAATAGTCGTCGATTTCAGTGTAGTCATGGTACGTTGGGGAGGTGAATGTGACCGTTTTGCGTCCAAATCTAATTGGTGACTTGAACGTCTGTGGCTTTTTCTCCGCCGTATCCCCCAGCATAGTTGCAGAGAGCTGTGTTGATTCTTAGTAACAATTTTGGGTCTTCGGCAAGGTCAATTTACGTACGTCAACATTTCTGTGTTTATTCAGACGGGCTAGACGTTCCGTCGGTGTCTCAATATGCTCTGCGGGTAGATATCCTGGCACATTCTGTCAGTTTCTGGCCAGCAGAAGTGGAAATTCTGCACTTACCGATGCTGCTGTCTTTAACAACTCTTACCAGCCACCAGTAGCTGTTGCTATCGTCTAGCAAAACCATGGTATCACCCTTGGTTGCATTTGCTTGACCTTCAACGGTAGCCACGAATGTGTGAAGGGCGTAAACGAATTCGAAATCAATGTCCTCTATGTCTTGTAAGCACTCGACCGCCCAGCCGGAGTCAATGAAATTGTAGTCGTCAGGAATGGAGAGTGCAGAATCATCGTCTTCAAAAGATTCGTCGTAGGGAACAGTAAGCGCGGGGTCAAAGTCGGGGGTTTCGTCGTCGTCCAAATCCGAATCGGATAAATCCAGCATTGGATCACAGTCATAGAATATGTCCTGCTCCCTGTTATCGACCATAGTGCCCTTTCCTCCAATACTTGATCCTTCAGAAGAAGGATGCTATCCTTCATTACTTGCGGACCTCACCTGCGGCTCCACTTCTTCATATGTTTCGTGAAATTCGGCCGTCGAATTGGACGTTGTCCAGCTATCGTCGGGTCCAGGTTCGGCGTCGTTACTGTGCTCATCGCGATCGGTATACTCACCCTGAAGACGATGGTTCCGGACTTTCGTGGGCAATGCTCGTGGAAGTTGCGCAATTGCACATGGGCTAGGCACGCATTTGGGAGGTTCGGGATATGGCGAGCAAACTCTGGTGCCGCTTGAACCAGAGATACTGGGAGTACTACTCCTTTGCGAAGGTAGGGAAGAGACACGGCGCGGCCATGCCACAGGGGCAGCGACGGGGTAGCACCCACCATCTTCAATCGAAGGCGAACTTGAGATCTTATCCATCATGTCGTCATCGAGGTCATCGTCACCGTCGAGCTCGCCCTCATCCGAGGATGAGACGCCTCCATTCTGCGCAATTGCCAGTGCATCTTCTTGGTTCATCTTGCTATTGTTGTCGCGTGCGCCCTGTGCGCGGGTATTCCCACTCGTAGAGTTTGCGACAAGTTCGTCTGCAAAGGAATCAATTTCGTCGAGGCTGTTGCGGTTATCGAGAGAAACTCTTGGGGAGCGGCGCTGTTCGTCTGCAATGTCGTGTGTGACCTCACGAATAGTCTCAGCTTGGTGGGGACCTAGGGAGTTGGCGTTACCGCCCAGGCGTGGGCTTTTCGAGTGGTCTTGAGCAGATGGAGAGTGATGATCTTGAAGATCGATAGTATCTGCGATCGGGGGAAAAGTTCGTAAACGTCAGTTTGGCGTGTCGTCAAAAGAAGCGTGTGGACACAAGGAATGAGAAAACAGAGGACTAAGTCGAGTGGTTGGAATGTATCGTGACTTGCAGCGACCCCGGAGAGCAAGAGAAAGGTTCGAGCTTGGACAGTGACCGGGGGGCAAGGGTAGACGAAAGTACGATGAAACGTAAAGAAAAAGAAAGTAATAAAAAAAAGAATGGGCAAGGGAGAAGTTGGCCGAAGGTCTACTTCAAGGGTTCCATGTGGTTGAATAGACGAAGTTTGTATGTAAAGGGGGCAGGGGAAGGAAAGTTGTACTCTAAGAGGGACCGACGAAACAACACGAGGATGAGGCTGCGCAAGAGGCGATGCACCCCAATCGCAAATCCCAAAGGCTGAGACTTAGGGTGACATTGGCGTTGGTATCTCTTCCAAGTGTGAAAGGCAAGACAGCAAAGGCAAACACTAGGCACATACCGGCTCTGACGATCGATGGTCGTGTCATTTTGACGGGTAGAAACGACGAGCGAGGCCGTCCGTCAACAAGTCACTCTGTTCCAGCTCTGTCCCTGAAGGCGCAAGGCACCAAAAGATGGGATGTGCTTGACCCCTGGCGCCAGAGAAGCGCCGTCTTAATTTTTTATTTCAAACTCGGGGCGTTGGATGCTGACGGCTGGGGGCCGGGTTTTTTGTTGCTTGTCTATGCCGTTGCGTGAGAGGAGGGCGGTAGATCCTTGCGAGGATGTTCTCATCCAACTCGGAGGTACCTGATTGCTTTGTTTGTTTGTTTGCTTTCGTCGCTGGGGGTGTTGCGATATCAGGCTTTCGGTCGTGGTACTCGATTGGATTTGGTGTCGCTCAGCGTGGTGAACAAGGTTGCGCCCGTAAAAGTCAATCGATAAATCAATATGCCCAGTGGCCAGCCACGGGCTCGTCCAACATGAAGCTGCTTCTGCGCGCGTGAATGGGAATGGATCTGATTGTCGAAAAACTGGAGAGAACGAGCGACGATCTTTGTTCCGTGTCTGTGTGGAAAAAGGATGGCGTAGCAGTAGGTAATAACAAAGTGAACTGAACTGGCCTGGCTGCTGGCCCAAGTTTCGTTTCCTGGCGGGACCTTGGCAAAAGGAACCCGGGCACCAAAAAAGACTGACTCCACTACCGCAGTGAAACTGCCACTGATACTATCACTGTTAGGCACCTTTATTGGTGTGGTCACTGATTCAAGAGGGACGGTCGATCTAACGTTTTCTGCCCTAACAATCCCTCTAGAATCTTTCAGCAAATTTTCATGTCTCCTATTCCAAGTAGATGCCAAAGCCCCTAATGCGCTTTATCCTTATCTATCGCAAACGGGTGATGTTAGTGCGGAGGGGGACGAGCCCGTTGAACGGAGCGTCACCCGTTTCAGATAACTCGTCCATCCACGTTGAAAGCAGCTCGATAGTCGAGAGCAAAAGATCTACTGAGCAGAAACAAAAGTGGATGCTGCGGTTCAACGGCCGGTCTATTAGACCATTTTTAGGGCCAAGATGGGAGAGAACGATAAATGGAAGCAAAAGAAAAGAAGAGCGCGTAATGAGACGACAATACTGAGAGCAGGGGTCCTCTTTTTCACTGACTCTCTGTTCTCCCTTGGAAGGCTGAACCAGTCAGGCAATGGAAAGCTTTGATCATGATGCGAGCTGCAGCATTGATTGAGAAGTGAACTAAATAATGATTTATCCATTAGCAGCGCCTTCGTTTCACTTATATCGATCGTATATCAGTTAAAATAATTTATTTCTACTGTGAATAGTTGCTCTTGTGGTGGCATTTTACCTCGCGCTGACTCCGTGACAAGACGGGATGGAGCGTGTTTCCCATTAAAACCCCTGAATGCTTAGCGTTTCCAAGAAACCGTAAACTTTGGCCCTAACGCAACCGGGGAATCGCTCAGGGCACCCGCGTCTCGGCGGGGCCCTTGAAGAAGAAACGCTGAAACGTCCAGACACCAAATGGGTCTTTGCTCAGGGGAAATTGAGTTCATTGGCTGTGAGCAAATGTTCTCTTTCAACTTCAATCCACTTTATGAAAATAAGACAGTCCTTCAATTGACTTGTCAGCGTCAGTGAAGTTATGTAATCAAATGTCACGATATAGCCGAGTTCGTCAATTTGATGCTTACTCGATTGCCAAGCCGATACTCCGTACTCTGTGTGGCAGTCACTGTAACCCTCAGAGGCCTCAAAATCACATATGTAGTTTGTTGTCTGTAACCTCACCTGTCCAAGTCAACCACACCATGAGGTATGCAGTGCAATTACCCAGCATACCATTGGATTACACCAAAACACCGTCTTGCAGAGGGATTGACTATTCATCTCTTATCATGTGCTTCTTCGCCAAATCGACCATCAATACAACAGACCAGCCATACATCCTTTGCCACGATAAACCCATTGTACATATTGAGGAGGCCATGATACGACTTCACGCATATATGCATGCAAGTTGTTGTCCCGCCAATGAACTATCAACATGAAATCAAGCTATCTATACATGACACGTGATAATGCTATGCACCTCATGTACCAGTGTATTCTATTTCTATCGCACTCGACCCAATACGACTGATAGATCACTTCGAGCAATCATATCTACAAGTCATTCAGTAATTCCCCTGAGACAAACATGTGTCTCAAAAGTCTTCCTCCAGCGTGCAGCACCAGAAGCAAACAGAAACAGCACAAGTTTCACTTGAACTCACCAGGTAAAGTCACTAATGACGGAAATAAAAAATATGAACTTCAAAATCTTGATTAATATCGACTAAATAAACATAGTCTTTTCTGACTTTTCTTTAACCTTGGCCCATTCATTAGGCCCATGCCAGGGCCGTCCCAAATATTGCAAACACACCGTGACAATGCTCATCTCTCATCAGAGAAAACAAATAATGCTATGCTTGTAAACAAATCAAATCATACGCTTCAACACCGTTTTATGCAATCAACTTTTTAGTTGGCGATCTGGGCCATACGCTTAGACATACTGTCGCAGTAGTTAGCATATTGTTCTGGTGTCATTGATGTATCATGGGTTACACTTACAAGTCGTAGAAGGCAAACTGGCTGGGGTTGCTGCCGAACTCGTACACGAATCGGCTGGCAAGGTAGGAGCCGAAGATGCTTCGGAGGTAGGAGTCGGGAATGCGAGCGATCAAAGTGTCGAGACCAATCTTCTCGAGGAGAAGACGTGGCAGAGCATCTTGAAGAACAGATCGGCGGATCTTCTCGTTGTCCCAGAGGTCGGAGTGCTGGAGCTTCTCATCGAGATCGGTAATGGCAACGGAGAGCTTGTCAGAGAGGATAGATCGGGGAGTGCCTGTCTGCTCGTGCTCGCGCCAGATAGCCTCAAACTCAAGACGGGCGTTCTCCTGAATCTTGAGCTGAACCTGCTTGACATAGTCCTGGTAGAACTGAGGAGCCTCGCCCTGGGCGTTGTGGCACATGTTCTCAACGAAGCCCTCATCGTCGAAAGACAGAGAAGCAAGAACCTCAAGGGAGGACGATGTTACACCACCTTTGTTGGCAGAGGCATCCTTGTACAGAATGCAGCCAGCAGCCTCGAGGCGGAGCTTGGCCTCCTGGGTAATGAAGAGGTTGGCTCCCTCAACAAGGTAAGGGAAGATGCACTTGCCATCCTTGATGAGACGGTTGACCGAGATGAGGTCGATGGAGGCGGGGCGACCACCGCAAGGGACGAAGCAGTCGACACTGCCAGTGTCACGAAGATGGAAGGTGTTACGGAACGATGTACCGTTGTTGATAACCTCACCGTTGGGAAGAGTGATGTTGACGTCGTCGCACAGAACTCGGTAACCCTCGGGAGACAGCTTGGAAACATCGTACTCGATGATCATCTTGCGGCCGTTGGCAAGGCGCAGAAGCTCGTCACGGTCGAGACCGTTGGGGTCAGCAAGAACTCCAGAGCCATCGACAATGGCAGTGTACTTCTCGTTACCAAGCTTGATCTCGTTGCTGCCCAGGTCACCATCCGGGCCACCAGTCTGCATCTTGCGGATGGTAGAGGGGTCAAGCTCTAGCTTTCGGTAAATACCCTTGACGTACTCACGAACGGATAGAGTGGTCATGCCGTAGGTGTCGTGAGGAATACCACCAAGCTTGGGAGACTTGCCAGTGAAGAAAGACTTCCACCAAGGGGCGCCACGGGATCGAGCGTGCTCAGTAGCCCAGTCGACCAGCTCAGCGGTGTTCTCATCAGGGCCCATGAAGATGATCTCCTCCTTGCCGTAAAGGTCGACAATAGGGTTCTTGATACCAGGGGTCTCGGCGGGCAGGAGAAGGTCAAGGATACTATCAATGTACTTCTCGAAAGCCTCACGGGCACGGTTCTGCTGCTTGGGGTCCAACAGAATAACACCCTTAGAGCCACCCTCGGGAATGTCCTTGTTCTTGCGCTGCTGTGTGCTGGCAAGACCGTAGTTCTCATCGAAGATACTGCGGGCGTTGATACCGTAAGCCTCCTTGTTGCGAGACTTGACGATTCGGATACCACCACGAGAGATATCCTTGAATCGGAGGTGGAAACCTCGGGACTCAGAGCTGATGACGAGGAACATGCCATAGAGAGGCTTGGGGTACTCGACCTCGGGGAGGAAAGATGGGTCAAGACGGAAGCTCAGGGCGACCTTGGTGGGGGTAAAGTAGTTGGTCTTGAGGATGGCGTTGTTGAACACACGGAAAGCAGTGAGAACCATCTCATCGTGCTCGTTGTTGATGTTCTTGGAGATCTTGTCCTTGAGAGCGTCGTCGGAGAGAACCTCGACGGATAGGCTGGAGGAAACGACCTTCACGGGGTCCTCCTGGTCCTTAACAAGGTGGATGTTGGCGAAAGAAGCGTAAAGAGCACGAACGAGGCCGGGGTAGTTCTGAATAATCTCATAGATGTACTCAGGGGTGAAGGTCTCGGAACGGAGACGGCGCTTCAGGTTAGAAAGGAGGGCCTGCTGAGCGTTGTTCTTAACATCCAAAAGCTCGGCAAGAGTAGAGTACTCTGGTCCCAATCGGTTCAGGAAGTGCTGAACGAAGACCCACGCGGAGTGGGCGTAGACGGATTCCTGAAGGCTGAGCTGTCCATCAAGGAAAAGGTTGTGGAACTTGTTGTGGGGGAGACAGTAGAGGAGAGAAACCTCCTTGGAAATCTGGTCAATGGACTCCTCAAGAGAAGGGAACTGTCCAGTGCTCTGGACAGTGTCAGAAGCAGGTCGGAGGTAGACACTCATGACGGTGATACCGTTGGAGAACTGCTCGAGGTACTTTCGAGATGAGGTGACGCCATAGTAGTGGTAAAGGTCACTGAGGGCAGAGAAGAGACCCTGGGCGGTGCGAGAGCGGAAGGCAACGACCATTCGCTTCTCGTCGGTGTTCTCAATATCGAAGACCTCGATGACGGGACCAGCTCGGTTAACGGCGAGCTCAATGATGTCCTGGTAGATCTGCTTGGTGTTGTCAGTGGCCTTCCGGAGGAAGCCGTTGTCGGCAATGAGCTCGAGGTTGGTCTCCTTGGGGTTGGTCTGCTCAGGAGGAGTGGCAAACTGGCACTGATAGACGAAGTAACATCGGAGAGTTGCCTTGGAGCTAGGGCTCACGACAGCGGGAGATCGGAATGTCTCAACGCGGTATTTGCTGGAGCCGGGGTGGTCAATGTACTTGGCCTCAAGGCGTTCCTCGTAGCGAGGACCAGCAGTGTTTGTCTTGCCAGCAACGCTGGTGTCAATGTAGATGGCATGGTCATTAGCCTCCATATCCAGTTGGATCTCCTCCTGCTTATCCTCGCGAGCGAAGGAAGCGACCTTAGCGGCGTACAGAGAGGTGATATGGCTGGAGATGACATCGGGGGTCTCAAGCTCGAAGTAGACATCATCGATGCCAAGCTTCTCGTAGAACCACTCGATCTGCTCATCAATTTGAGGCTCGGGGACGAAACCAGCAGCTGAGATGATAGACTTCACAGTCTTCTTCTGCTCGGGCTTGCCGGTGAACTCAGGGGCAATGTAGCCAACGGTGGCAGATCGCAGAATGCGGTGGCCGTTACCGCCGTTGCCATTTTGCAGAGGAACGGAGAAGTGAGTAGGCTGGGGAGAAGGACCACGGCTGGCCTCGGTGGCCTTGACGTTAGCCACGGGGTTGGCGGAAATGGCAGTCATGCTGTATTCCTGATATGGATCTGTGTAATCAGGGAAAGTCTGAGAGGGCAGCATGTTAGTGGGCGATTCTGTTGTAGGCGCCATCTTGGCGAGATGCCTAGATGTGGAGTGAAGTTTGGTGGTGTAAACGCAAGACGAGAAAACGAAAGAATTGAAAACAGTGATGGGATGAATGATATGGAGATGAAATGAAGCCAGCTGCGAGTGCCTTATATAGTAGACAGTTCGGCTCGAGCAAACAAGGAAGCTGAAGATAACAGTTCTCTTGTCGTCTCCGCCGTAGCCACCTCAAACCGAGTTTCGGTCAGAGCTCGTGACTCAAAAGCGAACTAAGGAAAGTAGGCATTTGACACGGGGCTGCTGACCCTGAGGCTGCCCTGCGCCCGTGAAGGCCAAACTCAATGATCTAGTGATCATTGGCATTGTGCCTGTCCCGGGAGGCTCATTCCAGGTCTTGTCCGGGGCGCCCATGCTCGCTGTCACTGGACGCCACTGGATCGGGGACCTGAAAATGCACTGCAGATGCTGGGGCTGGGGCTGTTTGCAGCTGCGAACGGCTCAGCTCGCTGGGAAGCTTATCTCTGATACGGAGCACCAGAATCCCGGTGTAAGCCGCCCGGCCCGGCTCTCGTATTCTCGCCATTGGGTAGTGGAAATCAGGGGGAAGCCAATCAACGGGGCCATGGATTCGCGATAAGGGCAAAATGACGAAGGAGTAGTGGGCAGTGCTATAGTCAGATAAGACTTATCCGCTACTTACCGGCGAGAGTTTGTGACGATCAATTCGTTTCGTCACTGAAAATAGATATTTCTAAGTCGGTGATGCCGAGCTTATAGCGGGGCCTTCAAAAAGAAGATGACGAGAGGAAGTTATTCGGAAGGATAACAACAAGATTGCCGTAAAAGGGTAAAGGGTAGTTGTTCTCAGATGAGAGGAGGGTTGGTTATAGTTCTGACAGCAGATTAGTATGTCTGTCATACACAGCCAACATGAACAGGCGTTTAACTCGGTGTGCACGAACTCAGCGCAGCCATCCGTCAGCCCTGTCGTAAATAGAAACTGAAGACGGTATGTCTAGAACAAGAGATAACAAAAGCTCTCTTGATACGTCGAGGTTGGTTTGAGACGACGAGGTTCAAAGCTCAAGCCAGGACAGGGAATATGATCTTTAAATAAAGACGAGATAGGAGTGATAAGGGGTTAAAGGTAGAGGAAGAAAGCTTCTTTTGGTGAGGAGAAGCAAATGCAAAATGCAAAGGGAAACAAAAAGTTCGAGGTCAAGTGACTTATCTCTCCAACTTTCGAAGCCAGAAGATATTGGGACTGGCGATGGAAGCTTTATATACTCTCCGTGTCTAAGTGTCTCTCAACAACGACCCAGAAGTCTACGATGTACAAAGTACCTCCCAGTCTTTTACAATGGGGTACGTACCAGCATTAATGTCTCCATTGACTCCAAACATGTCGACATAATGCCTTCTCTTACACCGTCTCGCCTGTAGGTACCGAGTAAAAGTTGTCACGCTGCCATAAAAAAACCACATCCCTTGCCAGGTCCTGGTCTCCCGCTCACCTTGACCACACACCCCCTTCCGGCTTGTGGGGCAGACCCTGCTGGGAGTTTGCTGGGCATGAGGCCCCGCGGGTGTTGATTTTGGGTACGTGTGTGTTTTTTGCATTCGCACCGGGCAGACCAGAGAAAAAGTGCAATGGACAGCAATAGACACAGCGAATGACCCCCGCCACAACTCTCTACAGCAGCTTACTTACAGCACATGCAGCACATTCACAAAGCTTATGATTTGCCCAGTCATTTGGTTCGAATTCCTCATATTTCACTTGGCAATCAGCAAAGTAGAAACTTGGCATACACAGTAAAAGATAGAAGAAACATTCAAACAATAATCATCACCGGCCCGGTCGTCCTGAGGCCTCTCTTCTCAATTGGTACCTACTCGCTACTGTACTGTACCACTACCACCCCTCCTGAAGCGGAGCCCAGCCCAGCTAAGCCCGCCAGAAGAGTCGAGAAGAAAGAATTTTGGCTGCAGCAACGCCCCCGATCGTGATCATGACCTCACGGAGTACAGTGCAGTACCTACAAGAAAAAGTCCCATTTAATTACCCAATAGTGCCTCTGGTCTAATCCTCAAGGGGAAGCCTTGTTTGGAACCTGACTTCTCTCGCCTGGACCAAGCGCCTGGTTCCTGAAGAGTCTGTAGGTGAGAGAGCACCCAGAGGTTCACACGTCCCCCCAGGAATCATTCAGAGTTACCAGTGGGGAAGAGGCCCGGTTATTCGAGGCTCTGCAGTTTTTGCATAGAATCCCGCCTTCTCCAGATTCTTGTTTGACATCACTAGTGCAGATTTGTTGCCAATGGGAGAGTTGTTTGCTAGACTTCAACTCTTCTGCCAGTTTACATCGATATCTAGTAACAACTTCACATACCACGTATTCTCATATAATGGATATCAGCGTTTAGGAACTGGCTTGAAAAGTTTTCAGAGACTAACTGGGTCAGGACAAACGCTCTATTTGACAGGTTGGTCACTGTAAGTCGACATAAAGAGCCTCCAGCTCCATTTGCAGACTTTGATAACGTAAGTCTACATAACTATCCATGCGTTATGCATGAAAATAGCACCACACAGCTAGCTTCTTTGGTTCAAAAACGGTGTGGAGGATGGTGCGATTCAACTCAATTCACTCACCACTCACCTTGGCTTGCCCTGCGGGTTTGTCTCTGCGAGTCATCGTCAATGGCAACTTCGTGACATGCAGATCCGACCCTGAATTCCGGTTTTTCAATGTTTGCTCTCTCTGGTTTGGGTTACTGAGGGTTAATACAGCGGTGGACTACGGCATCGCACAAGATCCCGGTCAACATGCACGTTGCCCTGACTGTGCTTGTCCGAGTGGTCGTAATAACTGCCTGAAATGATGTTGCCATGATGTACTTCAAGCTGAGCCGGACCGTATTAAACCTTACAGTTCTGACATGCGAAATGGCCAGGCCAACAAGTATGATGATTCGTACGAAAATTGGATCGCCTGCATTTGACTAGTTCCACGTTTGGTTTGACATGGACTTCTAACGATATCCATTTAGAGCATGTTTGATAAATGTCATGTAGTTTCGAACAAAGTCGACTTCAATGGGCCCATGTATCAACAATTGTGTCAGCCCATGGTTTACGTGGTGTAAGATAATGCTGGGATTTCGCAGCAGCCAAGAAACTATATCCTTTGGTTGGTTCTGAGCCTGCCAACAAGCGACGAATAGTTCACCTCCATGGAACCTTGCTCAAGATACGTTCTAAAGCCATCAAGATCTTTACAAGCCAAGAATCCGCCTCAAAGGGTACGGTACCTGAACTGAATTCCTACACGACTCACTACCCCAGACGGGAAGCTGGCGTTGAACGCTGACCGCAGCAGCAAAATGCCAGGCGAGCTAGCTGAAATGCCCTCGTACCCCAGACAATAGAACCCAAATCTGGCTCACCTGACTTAAAGAAAGCAAAGCCAGTGCTCACCGAACTTTCCAGACCTTGGCCTTTCTAAGGGGGACGATCACGGGGCCGGGACTAGTCTCGATTTCCAGGGGGAAATAATTTCACCTTGGGGGAGCTCCATTCCCCAGATCCAGTAACAGTCAAGATCATGAAGTTAAAAGAAAAAAAAGAAAAAATGTGTTGGCAAGGTGATACTTCCCACCTTCTTCTTCCCCAAGATACAAGGGAGCGAGGGAGAGCACAGCACACCGGTAGGCTCTGACCTGTCGTTATTGAAGGAGCCGGACCACGACAAGGTTCCTCCGGCCGACGCGGGGCCGCTGGTTCAGTACTTACGTACAGGTACCTTCTCCGGGGTACCATCAATGACACAATGGTTGAGGTCGAGGGGTCGTCGAGGAGCACTTGACTGCAGCACGAGGGGTTTCTATTGCAAAGAAGAGCAAGTCTGGCATAAGACGGGAGTTGCACGACATATCATGGCTTTCATGAATGATAGAGTTTAGACAAGATTGGTCTGTTTGTTCTTAAGCTGCTTCGTTGTCATCAACAATACTACTCTTCCATGATTCATCTGACTTAGAACAGAAGCTCTGATTCTCCAATACCCCAGACTCCAGACTCTGGACAATCCACCTCAATGTTTTGAGTTTTCCCCCCTCTTCCTCTCTCCATATGTTACGCAAAAATAACACCAAAATGCCTCCCTGTCCCACAAGCAACGGAGTCCGGCACCCACTCTCGCACTCAAGGCTCCGGGACAAGCAAAGGCCCCGGACTCGCCCGGAGAGCCCCACACGGCCGAGGTCCGGCAACACCGAAAATGCCTTTAAACTTGGATCTGGATTTCTATTACCCCCAGGTTTCGCCCATGGCTCCAGTCTTCCCCAGTCTGAGCCTGATCTGGATCTGGGCACAAGGACAAGAGAAAGAAAAAACTTCATAGCTTTCCCCACGACCCGCTTCCATCTCATCTCCCGTCATTTCCATTACCCCCAGTTTACTTGATCTTGCAGCTTTCGTGACAGCCACCGTTTCCCTTTGTTGCACTGCATGGCACAGCCAATCAGTTTTACACCAACCAGCCAACCTCTAGGGGAAATGGTATCCATTGCATTACCTATTGTTTCTCCATACGGTACCGTAGCGAGTTGCGTGCTTGCCCTGTGGCCCCCTGTGGCCCCGAGAGCCGTCCCCAAGCTTTTTGCTTTTACTTTGCCGCCGTCTCATGGCATCTTTAGTTTATCATAGGCGTCTTTGGTTAGCAAATCTTCCCTGTATTTTTACTGCACCCCGCATCCGGCGCTTGGAGGCGGACGGTGTCAACGCGTCACGAGGTGGGCAGAAAAAGATAGATCGAACTTCCTTCTGGGGTGTGTGGCTAGGGCTGTCCGTTGGACCTGGCTGGCTGAGTGAGGCGCGCTCCCTTGACGACGATATTGTTTTGGCCACGATGTTCGAAGCTGAGTATATTCTGGCTTCTATTTCCAGAGTCTCAGCCTAGCAGTTGAGCATTGTCACGCCCACATTCCGCGTGACCTTAAGCTTTCATTCGCTATTTTATTGGTCAATTGCTCCGTCAGTTGATTGTATCTGTGTTTTCTTGTGGCTTGTAAAAGAAAGATACGTAGCTTAGATACCCTGAGGTCTCAAAATCTGGGGAAAGGTCAAGAGGGGGATCTTGGATCAAGAGCTTGGCTGGAATATCGAATCATGCCTTTACCAGGTTGAGATACAGTATGGTCTTTTTCCTGTCCATGAATCTGGAAGCTGAGCCATTGGCTTACAACATCCAGGTTGCGTATCATCACATCCTGGTTACCTTCTCGTAATGATGAATAGTTCAGTCTGACGTGCTGTTCCACCATCGAAACCGTTATCTCATCATCTTTAACGAGAACCTCTGTCTCCATTCTGGACAATACGATGTACTCCTAATGCTCCGTCCGTAAATATCGCGCCTCCCACCTTCAGCCGCTTGTTGACGACGTTTACGGGGCGTCACGAAGTTTCGTCCTTCGCTACGAATGCCTTTCGATTATGTCTCCACCCAGCTGCCCTTTCGAGGCACCGTATGAGCGTTACGCTGGATGTGTGAATATGTAGAACCGTACCGTAGCGTTACCCATCTATTTTCTCTGGAGCTTCCATTTGGCTTGGACTTGTTGTAGAAGTTTCTATTTTTGTTCTTGCTACAGGTACCTGAGTTAATCACATCATCGACTGAATGGAAGCCGTCTTTTCCGGTCTTGTTCCAGAGAGAGTACTTTGTATGCTCCTCGTGTTCATGATCACCTGCATATTCTCTCAAATTTCGGCAGTAGAAAGTTCTTTTGAGTACAGATGATGAATTGCATAGAAAGTGAAATACGCACTGCTGTCATAACACGCTGGCACATGGTTTGTTTACCTGAGTGACGGACCAATCAGCTCAACTCTCGACTAGCCAAACCTGGGGACAAACTGGCAAGCTTCGGCACAATATCAAAGAGGAATGTCACAATTTCAGTTCTGTTTCCTTATTGAGGACACTTGCTTGTTTACAAAAGACGTTAATTATCACTTCGATTGGCGGTACGTATTCTGCAAGTACCTACGATACCTTGCTGGTGTCTGGCTGGCCATTTTTAAGGTGCCACCAAGTGGAAGGTTGGGGAAGAGTTTTCCTCGACGACGGCAGCTAGTGGCTGAGCGAGGGGCCCCCAGAACGCCTAGACACTGAGATTCCCTGAGGTGTCACAGGTGAGCAATCAACTCCACCATCGGGGCCATGCGCTGCCCTGTTTGTGGGTATTGTTCTATCCATACCCGGCCGAACGTGCTGCCGGCCCCCGGAGATCCTCAGGTACCGTCTTCGTACCTTACTCTACTTGAGCCGCTTGCAGTGCCCGCTATCTGATCGGCTAACGACGCTATAACCACATGGATTCGACCCAGTGGAACCCATGCTTCTTTGGTACAGCGTCCGGGGATCAGGGTCGCCCGTGCATGATCACGATAGCTTCATTGTCCCTTTCTTTGACGAGTGATGGCCCGCCATGGAGATTAGAGCCCATACCTGGCGTCTTGCGGTGAGGGGGAAACAGTTAGCTTAGACGAACCGGAGCCCCAAATCACTACCCGGAGGACGCAGTCACAGAAGAACGGAACTCTCTAAGCAACAAAGAGGGCCGGGGAGCTTTCCCTGACGGTGTTGACGAATGTATTTTGTGGTACCTTGCCAATAGCTATGGTGAGGAGCTGTCACCGTATCCCAACATCATATCACATCCATTCTTCCCTGCTCTTCAAATTCGCATCGCGGGGCAGCCCCTCTTAACTACACGCAAACCAACGGCACAGATACGTGTTGATTGTAAATGCGACCTTGTGCATTTTTCAACTCAAGGTTCATGACGAGTAGCAGACAGCTTCTTTATATTCAAAGCTGGAAAGAGTTGTCAGAAATTAGTTGCTGGTCAAGTCCTTCTGTATGTGGGTGGTTGAGTTCGGTTAGGTATTGAATGCCAAGTACATGGTGTAAATAAAGGCCAGTTTAGGTTGTCTCTTACACGCCGTCAACACCTCCCGTCAAGTTCCCCAGACAGGGTCCCGATTACTTACCCAAAAGGCTCACCTTGACACCGTGCCGGCGGCCCAAGCGTCTCCTCCAAAGATACCTCAATCCATTCCATATCAGGTTGTACGTACCATTGCTACCATGTTGCTTCTTCCATTGCGAGTCCAGAAAGTACTGTTCCTGAGCTTCTGAGGCTTAGCGAATGTCTGAGTAGAGATTGCCCAATCGGCGCTTTCGTCCCCTGTCTACCCACTCCTTTAAAGACAAAGTATCACGGCCTCGACAAGTCCACAAGTTACACCAACATCACACGGCATTCTTTGGTATTGTAGACGAGATTTCCTGTAGATCACGAGGTTCGTGCCTGCATAACTGTTCTCCCCGAATGCTTCGTAATCTAAAACCCTTGTGCGAATTGTATCGGATATGTTTACCGCTCATCACGGCAATTGCGTCTATATTTGTCGAATATACGTAATCTCCTTGCATCTCGATGCAGTGAAACGGGTTGGAAAGGTCACGATGCCAGATGTTTAATTGCCAATGGCTTCTCGTCAATATTGACGAGCTCCATCAAAGGTCATGTGTTGTACCCCTTGGAGCAGGGGAATAAACAAATTACGTACTAGTCTCGTTGCTTACAGGATACCAAAACCGACGTCTCAAAGCGATCTAGAAGCTAGGTCAAACTTGAACACTCCAACTACTCAACAAGACAGCTTCCTGACGTTCAATCCCGACTTTTCCGGTTGTCCCTCTTCCTTCTTGTGTCTCGCAATACACCCGTGACTCTTTTTCTTGCTTTTTCCGTTTTTCCTCATTGCAATACTTTTGTCTACGAATTGTAACAAGGACGATGAACAAGTATAGACAAAACGCCCATATCAGGTAAAACCAGGCACTGCGGCATGGCCTTCTAGCCAAAGCTACGTTCAGTCCTGATGAAGCCTTGCTCAAATTCCTTCTAGTTTCTTTCTGAGATTTTTCTGACATGAACAAACACAACGGGTTCATGGTAGGAATGATGATACTGGTTTTACATATCATAACCGCGAAGTCGCAGGTGCCTGGTTGATCAAATATATATATTACATAACGACATCTCTATACCTGTATCTCTTGGATATGTCATCTCTTATGAGAAGGCAATGCAATTGGAGCTTCTCGAGTTGTCTTCTGCTAGACAACATACAACATGGCATTGCCCACTCGTCTTCTTTGCCAGGCTCAGGCTGCTCCCCTCAGAGACTGGCATACGATTGCAGGTTTCAGTGAGCATTACTATATGGACCTGCGGTGCATATTAAGTCAGCATTCATGTGTCGCGGTCCTTTTGAAAGAACCATATGCCAACTCTACAAATATAAAAATTAATGAAGGAGATACATTACATCGTGGAAGGCTCACACGACTTTGGCAGAATATTGCCGTAGTCATAGTGGACAACATAGAATTCCCGAGTGTGTCATTTATACTGCCAATGTCATCATAAGCATTGAATGGTTGAAATCAGTTGCGACAGTCATTGTCGTGATCAAGACAATGGGTGTCAATGAGTAAACCAAGACTGGGGGTTATTCAAGCTCGATGAGGGGGCAACTGGCCGCCCAACACTCGATTTCCAGACTTCTGCTCTGAAGCGGGCCTCTACTGTAGAATGGACGTGACATGATGGAATACGGAGAATGAGACTGATGCTCCTTGTTGTATCAGAGCTCTGTCGCATAAGGCTCACAAGGCTCACAATATGTTCCTGACCACGGACTCGTAGTTTCCTAAGAAAAATATCATGAGAATGCGTTTTCCCAATGTGTCTGCATGAGAAATGATGATAATAGTTCCAGTGCGCATTCTTAAAGATCCTCCTTTACTCTGCAGTAAAAAGAGGCTCGATGACGGTTGTCTGTGGAAGGTGCACGTGACGATAGTCGCTGGTGAACTCATCGGCTAAACCAGGGTGTTGTAAGTGGAGCTCGCGGCAACTTCCAAAGAAAAATTACTCCCATGACATCGTGAAGCCCAACGTCAACGCCAACTCATCAACCAGTCACCGAGAGAACAATTTTTCTTATCAGGAAACTTTATCGACGTCGCTTATCTTACTATTTAGAGTCTTCTAACAATTCCGATTTACTCAGAACCCTTGTGATTTGGGCTGCGAATATTCAGCAATTCTTTCTCCACCTAAAGCTCTTCAACAGCTCTTAATACCTTAAACAATCGACTACGCGATACACAACACCTTCAGCTATTCAAGATGGTTACTCTTACCGAGGTTGAGGACGAGCACTTCCAGCACCCTCAGGCTGGTCCTGATATTGAGGAGGACGATGACGACTACTCCGATACTGGTAATTAGCAACCCCGCGCCTTTAATCGCGATATTGTGCATGCTAACACCGCCCGTAGACTCCGAGATTTCCAACGAGTCCGACTACGACCCTACAGAAGAGACTCTCGCTGAGCGGCTATACGCGTTGCGCGACATCGTTCCCCCCACTACTCGCTCATGGATCTCCGGCAAGGCCAACACCATCGGTTACGCTGCCTGGAGCGTCTTTTCTTTCAGTGGCAAGGGCGCTTGGGTGCTTACTACCTCTGCCCTGTTCTTTGGTGTTCCTTTCGCCTTGTCTTTCGCCGAGGACCAACAGCTCACTGCTATGGAGCAAGAGTACAACATGCGACAAAGCGGCAGTGAACTTTTGACCGCTGGCTCCGAACAGAGCACCGCTGACCAAGTTGGCGCCGCCCTCGATGGCAAGCCTGCCCAACCTTCTCTGTAAACAAACAAGTTGGAGTCACGCAATCGAAAAACCTTAACCTTACGTTTCTGGGTATGAGGATATCTTAGACAGTGCCTTTTGTTGCCAGGCGCAGTCATTATTGGGCCGGAAAATACGGCTTCCCATGTGTACAATAATTGTTTACGGCGTATATGGCCGATTATGACCCGTGATGGATGCAACTGGGTTTGACCGGGAGGAACGAGAAGCGCAACGCATCCACGGCGCATGGTTACCGGTGTAAAGTATAAGATGGGGTTGGTAATTGCTGCGATCTCATCTCCAGGAAAGGCGGTTTCACATGTATTTTGTCACATTAGAGCTGTATCATTGATGACTTATGTGTGAGCTTTATATAAACCACAGCTTGTTCTGCCTTTGTATTGTGACACGATTTGAGTCAATAATGATGTATGAGAGAAAGCCACGAAATGCGAGGAAATTGAAAGGAATCTTCTAGTCACAGCGGCTTTCATTCGGTCAAGTGTGTTGCTCTCAATGTCTTCATTGATTGTAGTTGTGATGATGATGTATGATCTTCATCAAGTTCAGGGTAGGTATTCTCGTTGACACTAATTTCCATGGTAATGGATGGGTATCAATTCTCTCAGCTACACGCTGACAAACTAGAGCCTCTACAAGTATCCAGCTAATACTGAACAAGTAGCGTTCACACAAAGCGAACAAGGCCAACCATGGACTTTGTTAAGCTACCAAAGATAGAGGTTGTTTAAACCCCACATCCTACGTTATTTACTGACGATATGTAAGCTTCACGCCCATTTGACTGGGAGCATCTCACGCCATACTCTCCATGAAGTATGGCTACGTAAGAAGAAGACAAGTGACATAGACTTAGAAGATCCCCTGACCGTTATGCCTGAAGGGAAACATGATTATAACCTGCAAACGTAAGTCTTGTCTCCTATAGGCTGGCAGTAACAGGATTTTAAATACCAATGACTACTCTTCACAGCTTCTTTCCGCTTTTCAGCAGTTACATATATACTCTTATCACGGATGAAGAGTCTGTTCGATATACCACCGAATCTGTTCTGACCGACTTTCTCAATGATGGCGTCTGCTATCTCGAGCTTCGAACAACACCGCGCACCACCCCTCAACTCTCAGCAGAGCAGTACATTTCAACTCTTCTTGAAACAATCTCGTCATTTGAGTCTCAGAACCCTCAGCTACACACTCGCTTGATTCTCGCTGTTGATCGACGGCATACCCCTGAACAGGCTGGTTCTACGCTTGAGATTGCTCTGAAATACCGTGATCAAGGAGTCGTGGGCCTGGATCTCTGCGGTGATCCAACAGCGAGACCTGCAGGCGAGATCAGTGTCTTCACGCCTGTGTTTTTAGAGGCAAGAAAGAAGGGCTTAGGGGTTACAGTCCACTTTGCCGAAGCTGAGGCGAGTGGATCGAAGGAGGAGTTGGATACGCTGCTCTCTTGGGAACCAGGTAGGCTGGGACATGTGATCTGGGAGGATGAAGAGGCAAAGAAGGAGATTACAAAGAGAGGATTGTGTCTCGAGTTATGCCTGAGCTGCAATGTCAGAGCTGGAATGGTATTAGGCGGCTTCGAAGGTCATCACTTTGGGCACTGGAGAGGAGTCGAAGGCCCCAAGATCTCACTCAGCGTAGGTTACTGAACTTCTGTGCACTGGATAGCTGAGGTGAATGATAAGACTAACAGTGATGATAGACTGACGACGTGGGAGTATTTGGAAGTCCCTTGTCTAACGAATATAGACTCGTTGCGGAACATTTTGGCCTTGATCATCAGGCTATATGCGAGCTTGCGAGACAGCCTATTGATGGCATATTTGGAGGCGAACGAGAAAAAGAGAGGCTGAGACATCTCATGTGGTCACAGTGAGTTTGACAGCTGCTATCGCTATTGCATAGAGGCGTAATGTTGTAATGCCCCAAACTCGAAAACTATCATGGCCTTGGAGTGCCAGAAGACTTGAGACCATTTCACCAGGGGGCGAAAATAGAGGTAGTCACAGAGCCTGCTATGTTTATCTCGAACTTGTCTCAACTTATCTAAGTTTATCCTCAACTCGTCCATGCTAAGGATAAACCCATTTAAGAATTCTATCACTTTGGACTGAGGTTTCTAACATCCCTAGGGAGGCAATGGATGTGGTATCAATATCGGCGTCATCATTTAGACATAAGCTATTAGAAAAGTTTCTACTCTAGTGAAGTTGCGTTTACTAGCAAGGCGTATTGCATCGCCCGCGAACAGCTATCGAGCGGTTGAAGCATCAATAGTTAATTCATACTGCTATGACTCGCTAACAAGGTATGAGGAGAGAAGTTGATATCAAAGCCAAATCAGGAGCATCTCGTGTTCTTCCATCGCATTACATATGGAAACGACCCTGCCCATTAACGCCGTACTTTTTTGGTTGTCGTCTCAATCTGAAACGTTAACGTTAACCCCATCGGTATACATCTAAGTCGTGTTCGTCCAAGTATCCGTAGCTTCATCATCAATGCATGCCGACTGGCGGAGTCTCAAGGTCGACACCTTCAACCTTGGCGCGCTCACCATCGCTCTGGCGGATAAGGTTGAGGAAATAACGAGAAGCGCGCTCACTCTCGCCCTTGACCTTGATAGTCTCCTCTCGCTTAGCGCTCAAGTCCTTGAGGCTTTGGTCGAGGCCGACCCGGAGGTTGTCAGCAGGAATGCGGAGGACCTTGCGAACGGAGGAGGAGATGCGAGAGGAGTTGGAGTGAACATAATCCAACTCAGCAAGCTGAGTAGAGATTTTGGTAGCAAGGCGAGGAGGCAAAGAGTTAGGAATTTGCTGCAAAACATAGGCGGAGGCGGCAACAGCTATGATACGATTAGTGACTTCGGGTTCTTAAAGGTGCATGGTTTCACTTACCAGCCACGAGGATACCAGGGATAATGAGCTGGCGTAGGTTCTCATTGCTCAAGATGCGGGTTGCTGTAATAGCCTGGTCCATCCATGTATTCATGCCAATCATCCGGGGTACAACAGCGCCGGCAACTGTCAGGGCCATGCCAGTGCCAGCAAACTTCTCCTGTCGCTGCAACAAGGTAGTCCAGTCGACAAAGTCGATCAGCTCTGTGGGAATGTCGACCTGGCGAGCAAGGGCATCTCGCTTGCGTCGGAACATGACGTCAGGTCGGAATTGGAGATTCTGGAACTCATCGCCAACGTGCAGAATCCCCAGTTGCTTGATAGCATTGACGCCATATACGGTCTTTCTGCGAGCATACTCTTCGCAGTTCGAAACGGAATCAGCAATGCGCGACAGCATAGCTTCCTTGAGGTCCTCTGCATATTGGAAGGCATTCCAGATACCGGGGTAAGGTACATCGTAGTGGCTGCTTCCAGAATGGAGAATCGCCGAGTTAAGAGTGTTTCGAGTGTAGTCGTAGATGTCCTTGCACGTTTCCTCAACGTTGGCATCAACTGACTCGCTCACTTCGGTCTTTGCCCTTCGACTGGATTCCAACTGAGGCTCAAGCTCCTTCAACTCCTGGGTCACTCGCTCCAGTTCCGATTGAGCAACTTCCTGGTTGACATTTGCAAGAGTATTGACATCATTCAATATGTTGAGCAGGTATGTCCGAGCTGGTGCAAGCTTCGATCGTGCGCGCTTCTCAAGCACGAATCTTCGCAGCGATTGCTCCAGAGCCTCGAAGTCTCGCACCTTGTCGAGATCCTTGCCCTTGCCCTTGTCATCGCCATCACCAGGATCACCACTGCCTCCACTTGAACTACCGCTGCCACCAGGGCCGCCGGGAGGCGATGGGCCGACAGGGATGGCGTTGCTGGACACGAAATGCACAAGCTCAGAGGACTCCTTGTGAGTTCGGGGACTGAGACCAGCAACCTGGTCAAGAACCATCTTCTCACATCGCTTCTTGTCTCGGATAACATCGAACCCGTTGACAACAATGAAGATGTAGGCTTTCTCAGCAGCAGCAGCCCAAATAAACTCCTTAGCAGACTGTGTAAAGTGATTGGCAGCGGAAACCACGAATACCACCACGTCGATCTCCTCCTGCCGGGCAAAGATGGCAGTAGTTTTGGTTGTATCGGAGTTAAGACCAGGAGCGTCGATCAAGGCAATATCAACCACGCCATTGTTCAGTAGAGATTCGTCGATGCTTCGGCTATCCTTGACGTAGATCTTGCACTGAGTGTAAGTCTCGTTGTCAATGACGATGTTCTCGAGTTCCTTCAGTGAGAACACATCGTAGGTCGACTCATCGTTTCGATCGTAGGGGACGTTCTTATGTACGGCATGTACCTCTTCCACACCGGAGTTCTCCCTGGCATCAAGCACCTCACAAAAGATAGCAGTGCAAGGCTGTTGATCCTCAGGGAGAACCTTTCGACGGAGTAGGGCATTGCAGAAAGTCGACTTGCCAGCATTGAGATCGCCTGTGATAAGAACCTTGCTTGCGGTATCCTCAATTCGTTCACGGAGAGCTAGTAGATGCTTGATGCTGGAGCTGATTTTGCCATCGAGGAGCGACGCAATAGAGCTCTTTTCCAATGAATGCACAAGCTCGGTCTGGTGGAGAGCACCAAGCTTGAGGTCCAGCTTCAAAATAGAGAACTCTTGAGCAATTTGTGGTGAAACAAGTCGGGGTTCGGGTGTCGATCGATTCTCAGCGGCTCGACTCGATTCGGCGGCACCGTCTTCGACCGTCGTCATGGAACGTCGTAAGCCAGGATTTCGGAATGAGGATGAGCCTTTGCCTTCCATACCCGTGTGTGCATGGGCAAAGGCGGGTCGTGAGGAGTGTTCGGAGGAGTCGCGGCGAGCTCGTTGAACGGAAGGATAATGTGCGGGCCAAGAAGCATTCATTTCTTGTAAATTTTGAAGCAATTCGAGCACCTTGTTGATGGAACGACCGAGGGTAGCACGGTGAGCATTGTACCACATCTGGTGCACAGCACCCGACGCAGGCCGGTCGTGATGCATTGCCATGTCCCATGCTGCGGCGGAACTCATGGAACGCTCATCTCCAGCTATACTTCCGCCATAGCCTGAGTCGACGTCAAGCATGCTCTGGAGACGGGCAGCGTGTTCAGATGTCATACCATTGCCGACAGTCATATATTGAACTCGAGAAGAGGACGAGTTTGTGGGTGGCGGAGAAGAGTGGTTGCTGGTGGGCGCGTCGGAATGGCCATGATCGTTGTCACCGTCAGAATCGGGTTCCTGGTGCAGTCGGGCCTTGCCCTTTCCGTTACCGCTGAAATAATCTTGGCTCATGTTGAATCGGTCCTTAGAAGTTCGAGCGGCATATTCTGGACGAGAAGCGAGGGGAAGAAAATATCCTTGGAACAGTGATGCCGATGTAATTATGGCGGTCGGTCGGAGAGGCGAATAAGAATCATTGACAAGTCAGTCAAACGACCCATTTCTGCATGATTTTTGCTACGTACCGATTCCCGATTTGATTGGCGAAATCTGGAGACTTTAACGCTTGGACCAAGCGGGCTCTTATCGCACCGTATCGTGCAAGCAAAGCGGCCTTTCAAGGTTGGCCCAGTCCGATTACGTAGTGTCGGGACATCCGTAGCGCAACCAGGCCATCAACTCTTACCACGCATCTGGATCAAGGCTTGATCTTTTTCTCGCTGCCTTGCGCATTTCTGCCGCCTACTTATTTGCTATCCGCAAGGACTCTTCTCCTATACCGAACTCTTCGACCTCTCTTTAACAAGAACTACCCTCTTTCATCCGTCAACCACCACTACCCCCGCACATCATGAATGTAAGAACAGCGGTGTCGTGCGACAATACGGCGCGCCCATGATGGCTAATTCGCTCACGATATAGATCCTCGAATGGGCATTTGGCAAGCGCATGACACCCGCGGAGCGTCTGCGCAAGAACCAGCGCATGCTAGATAAGGCCATCCGTGAACTTGATCAGATGCGCGTCAAGCTGGAGAAGCAAGAGAAGACCCTTATTCAACAAATCAAAACAAGCGCCAAGAATGGACAGATGGGAGCTTGCAAGATTCAGGCCAAGGATTTGGTCCGGACGAGGCGATACGTTGAGAAGTTTTACAGCATGCGCAGCCAACTACAAAAGATTTCGCTTCGCCTTCAGGTAATTGCAGACATTGGGTACGAGCGAGACTAGAGGCTGACTGAATGCGACATAGACATACAGAACGAACGAACAAATGATGCAGGCTATGAAGGGCGCTACCATGGCATTGGGAAGCATGAATAAATCGATGAATCTTCCCCAGCTTCAACGAATCGCCATGGAGTTTGAGCGCGAAAACGATATCATGGACCAACGACAAGAGATGATGGACGATGCCATTGATGATGCTATGGATGTGGGAATCGAAGAAGAAGGCGATGAGGTGGTAGAGCAAGTCTTGGAAGAGATTGGTGTGGACTTTAACCAGGCGGTAAGTCATCAAAGGTGATGCTATACAAGCTTTGCCGCTAACTCAATCACAGCTCGGTGAAACACCTACTGCTCTGGGAACTGCTGCGGTACCTGAGGGTAAGATCGCTCAGGCGGTTGGCGGCGGCGGCGGCGGTGGTGGTGGTGACCCTGTTGACGACGACCTTCAAGCAAGACTGGATAGTTTGCGAAAATAGACGACCTGGCAGGGCTTCCTTGAAGCCTTAGGAGTTTTGTTTCAAAGATATCAGCCATATCATTCTAAACGAGGTTACCCAACCTGTATTCGGACCAATCAGGCCACAGAAGACGGTTATATATCCGATGTCATGGCCGATCTTTGGCCATAGGAAGAAAGAAGGGAGCTTCATGGTACTGTGTTTGTTCCGGTGCATTGGTGTCTGGAGAATTGTCTTACAAATCATCGGCTTTGCAGCTTTTGCTGTG